GAACTCAGGTCCTTGCACTTGCAAGGCAGGCCACCGAACCACTGAGCTAAATCCCCAGCCCATTGCAGTTTATTTCAAAGGGCAATGGGATATGAAATTTAATAACAAAAATACTATAGACAGAAAATTCTGGCTGAACAAGGTATCAACTATATTTTATTTCCTTCATACAAAATAACACTATATTGGAAGTTAAATTTAAACCTATTTCATGAGTATACCAGTGTAAGTAAAAAAATAAAATGTGTCATGAGTATTGTTTCATTACTTTTTTTGAAAATGTTTTTATTTAAGTGTACTTAAAGAAACTTGTGTTATGTCTAATTTGGTGTTTGCTTGATGCTTTCCTTTATTGCAGGATACTAGCAAATCTGTGCAGGTGATGGAAAAAAGCAGCTATCTCAATTTTGCCTCCCTGGAAGATGTGCAGGCCAAGATGCTGGAAATACCTTACAAAGACAAGGCTCTGAGCATGGTTGTGCTGCTGCCAATTGAAGTCGATGGTCCGCAGCAGGTAAAACTTGGGCCTACATTTGTGCTTCCTAGTGTCCTTTGCTTTTTTCCCCCAGTCACTAAGAAGGCAAAAGGTTTTACAGCAAGGTCCCCCAAAATAATAAAAGTTTCAACAGAAGGAATGCTGATTTATCTTTTCATTACAGATACTTTAGTACAGAGTCTAACACATACTGGTAGTCAGTTAATCAATAATTGAATAGTGTTATATACATTAAATTTTAATTTTGTTCTTTTGAAAGGTAAAATGTATACTTGGTGGAGAGAAATACTAATGTAAGAAATGTTTACAAATATGGCAAAAGGTGCATAATAGTTCATACACTGTAACTACAATATTCAATTCTTAATAAGTATCAGAAAATTAAGAGTATTTAAAATGACAGAAAATTGGTTGGTAGCCTAAAGAGTAATAATATATAGTTGACTTTGTACCTTGAATGTGCATATATAAATATGTACCTACAATATAAAATAAATATATACTCTGGACTTCTATTTCTGGTCACAAGAGTAGTGTGTCATAAACTGAATCATCTGTGTATTAAATTTATTTCTAGAATAAAGTTTCCCACATTTTAATGCATTCTTATAGTACAGTATATTTCTATAGTTAATCATGATAGATTCACTTTTTCCATTGTTTTTAGTTTGAAGATGGACTTGCTGGTGAGAAATTAATGGAGTGGACAAGCCTACAAAATATCAACACAACAGAGGTGAATTTACATTTACCTAGGTTCAAGGTGGAAGAGAGTTTCAATCTCAACACCATATTGCAAGACATGGGAATGGTAAAAGCCTTTGGTCCACAAGATGCCGACCTTTCAGGCATGACTGGAGACAAGGGTTTAATGGTATCTAAGGTCAAGCACAAGTCCTTTGTGGAGGTTAATGAAGAAGGGACAGAAGCTGCAGCTG